TACACAGGTTTATTTGACGCCCGCCACTTAAATCTCTCATGTTTTCGATGTTCTAGTCATTCGATATAGAATGTATTCACTGTAGATGAAAAAGGTACGAAATCAACCATGTTAGATATTCGTATGCAATTTCTTAATAAGATATTATAAGAATAATATGATTGGTAAAATCCGTATAGTGAAGGAAAAAAACATGAAATGCATAGAAATTTTAGTCATAATAGTAATTATATATTTTTTTTTATATAGTTTACCAGTTCAATTAGTTTCTAACCGATTTTCAGTTATTATATTTAAATTGAAAGAAATCAATCCGTACATTGGACCTATTGGTATAAGTGTATAACAAAAGCTTACAATAAAATAAATAAATATTCGTTATATAAGTAATTGATTTGTTATAAAAACTATTTAACTCAAAATAATCAATAATCATAGTTATAGAAAGTCACTCATAGTTCTTATGCAATTTGTATACATTTATTAAATTATATCCACTCATCTCATATGTAAATATATCTTCCTTATTAATAAAGACCGGATTTATTTGTTTTTACATATCGTTACTGGGTCTATGCAGTCTTATGAGAGTAAAAAATGTGGACGATTCGTTCGATTCTGAATGCGTAGAAAAGTTTTTTTTGCATATTAAAGAATATTTCATGGGTTGGAGAATATTTAACCCATTTAGCATATTTTGGAATATTTCGTAAATTGTGAGCAAAAATTTGTATTTATATTTATTAATTTTAATATTACGGTACTCTGAAAATTTTTTTTTGACCATTTACAATTTATTTATTTTTTTTCATTTTGATAAAAATAAAACACGCAGTATTATCTAGGTTTATCTATGTATATCTACTGATAAGATCAACTTATAAGTTTATCAATTATTCAAATATCAAAATTTTGTTTTTGTGTTTTAATATTACCTATACTGTTATATTTATATAATATTCCAACTTCTTACTCTTGCTAAAGTGCAATACTATTCCATTAGGTATAATATGCAACTCTTAATACCTAATTAATATCTCACTATAAAAATATAGTTGAAAATAAAATTTTTAAAAATAAATGCATATTAAAGCATATAATGATGTTTTTTGATTTTTTTGCATATTTTTTAAATTTTTGAGAGAATATAATAAGGATATTTGAAGGTTTTTTAGAGAATATTAGCATCATATTTTGTGTATTTTAAGAGAATATAAATCCGGTATTTACTTATTAACATAATTTTGTCATTTCTATTTCTGTGTATCATCGATGAACGTTTTGAATATTTGTGGTAAAACGCGTTTGTTCGCTTTTACAGTTTTACTTCAGTCTAGGTACAAACACTGCAGTGGTCGGTTTACCTAAATCGTTATTATTTTAGTTTATGTGAGTTATGCTTAAAGTGTGAATATTGAAGACTTCACAGTAAAAATGACGGTCCCGCAGCTAGAAGAAGAACTTGAAAACCTCGCAGGGTTGGCAGTAGTTGATGATTCGAATTCTGCAGAGAAGCCAAATTTGAAAGGCGATTGGTTGAATTTTTTCCTGTTGTTATTACTATATACGATGCAAGGCATACCATATGGTGTAGCATCGGCCATGCCGATAATTTTGCAAAGTTACAAAGATGTGTCTTACAAAGATCAAGTAAATATCTGCTTCAACATCAAAAATTGCGTACTCGTGCGATTATTGTATTGTATAATATAAATATTTAATATTGACTTATAACCAAATCTAAGAAATTGCGAACTTCACTGTTACTCATAACATAAACGTGGTCGTGTTTTATTTCAGGCTCTATTCAGTTTTGTTGAATGGCCGTATAGCTTAAAACTGATATGGGCTCCTTTGGTAGACGCGCTGTACGTGCAAAAGATGGGAAGACGAAAATCATGGCTCATACCTGTTCAATATACGATTGGTGAGTATATTAATATAAATGTCTCCGTTAAGCACGTTTATTCAAACGAGAAAGTATCTCTTTAGAATGCGTTATGATTTGTAAAGATGGACAAGTTAATGAAAATGATTAAATAGATAGTCAAGTTAAGTTATGAGAGCTCAAAGTCGGAACACGTTAGAAGTTGACACTCAAAAACAAATAAAACAAATCATAAAAATAAATAACCAAACGTTATATACAGGGCCGGATCAGCTTTAACCCGGAGAAAATTAAAAAAATACGCCCATCTCAGGGAGATGACCAGAATTAGTATTTTTTTTTTTTTAAATCAAGCACCCCCACACAGTATTGCGAGGAACTGAGGACCAACATTTACAAAACCTTTCCAAATATACTGCAGGACCAATCATTTATTTACCACAAATAATTTGAACGATTTTAACTTAAAAATTAAATATTTTAAATTTTAAAATAATCACGTAATATAGTTTTAGAAGCACTTCTTAATGGTGTATTTAAATTTTAAAGCTAAAATCTGTGGTCAATATTTCTAAGTTTCAGGTTTAGAATAAATAATATTGATAATAATAACATGTATGAATTATTTATTAACAAATATAAATTAAGTATCCATTGCTTACTTTTAATATAAAACGGTTTATGTAAAAGAACAATATTCAATTTACAACATACCTAACAATATTATACATTTTCATTTTTAATATTTGTTACAATCAAAACTTAATAATATATACCTAGGTACGGAAAAAATTCAATGAAACAAAAATGTTATTATGTACTGAAAATTGTAATATAATGATTATAACACGACAAAAAAATATTTATCATGGATTATCACTTACGGATTGAATGTACCTATATACTAAAATAACTACATTCTACATTCTACATTTTAAAAATTTCCAGAATGATAATAACCCGGTTGTCTATTCATCTCGAACTATAAAAATAAATCAGACGAAAAAAACACTTGATAATAAAAAAAAAACGAACCAAATAGAATATAAATTTCCTTTTAAATTATTTTAATATAATATTTCAAACATAATATTCAATCTGTCTTGGGCTACAATCAATAGGATAGTATTTTTGTTTTAATTATTTAATTATGTTGTACTTTTGTACTATCAAGTTTATCAAGTAAATTAATAGTTGTATACTAGTACCTATTTAAAAAGCAAACACAAATAACAAATTATATTCCATTTTGTGTCCTGTTACATTTATCTAGTGGCCATGGTGATATTTATAAAAAGGCATTAATTGTTAAATACAAAGACTTTTATAAGCCTAGGTACGAACATGTAATTTAATAAATAATCTGAAATACCTAAGTAACATTTTATGTAGTACATAATTGTATGCAGTACCTTCCTATTTGGAAAAATATATAATTGTTAATTTAAAATCACATAATGAATAACAATTATTAATAGGGCCATTTTTAAGTTTAAGGTTTTAAATAATATTATCTACATAATATTATATTATATGCAAGAAAATTATGTAATTTACCATACTTTATTATGTCACTAATCGGAGGGTACATTAATCTGTGATAGACCAAGGCATGTCACTCCCGCTGACAGTATAATAGTTGCGGACGGGTTTTATTTATTTTTTCTATTTATTTTATTTTATCTATTTTTTACCTATTTCATATTTGTCCTTTTTAATTTTTAAATCAATGTTATTAGTTATTAGTTATTACTTATTACTAATCTTGATTAAAAATAAATTATTTTATTTTATTCCCATACCCAATATTACACATTTCCTGTGATATATTATTTTGTACCTAGTTTTTACTTTGTTTTAAAGTTCATTTTCAATTTTCAATTTACAAAATATTTAAAACCTTAAAAATACGCCCACGGAAATTATACGCCCGGGATAAATCCCCGACTTCCCCCCCCCCCCCGTAGATCCGGCCCTGGTTATATAGTCCTTTTCAAAAGAGAACAAAAGAAAACAAGGGGAATGATTCGAGAACCACGTGACCACGCTAACTATGGGAAATTGGTGGGGATGAGCGCCGCAGGGCATTAATTGGACGCCGACCGGTATGTTCTCTTTTGGAACAGAGTATAGAATGATATATTTCTTTAATAGGCCCTTTTAATATAGGTGTAGCTAGTATATTAGTATATGGTAGTAGATAGCGTTATCAGTATGTCAAACCTTTGTGTCCAACAGGAGTATGTTTCATTTATGTGGCCTATTTATATTAATGACAAATCGTTATACCCATCGTCACAGTGGTATATTTAGGGTGGTCAAGGGATCCGGTAAACCCCCTTTGTTCTTTGTGTAGTATACAGCAAGGCTATATACCTAGTATATAAATATATATGGTATTTAACCTATTTTGTTCCTTTATCTAGATAAATTTCTATCAATAATCTATTATATTCATCTCGATTATATTTTAGTTATCTATTCCCAACACATTCCCGCAGTATATTTCGTTATCCTTATTTAAAACCTCTGTGTCAAACAGGAGCATGTTTCATTTATATGGCTATCAATATCAATAAATGGTTGCCGGAAACGGGTAGACCGGACATACTAAAATTGGTATCAGTATTTTTTTTCATGAAAACCTTGGTCGCCACGCAAGACATAGTCGTCGACGGTTGGGCACTGACAATGCTCAAGAAGTCAGTGTTATTGTTAACTTTGGTAGGTATAATATAAATCATAATAATTAATACCTGTGTTGCATTACGATATCACACAGGAATAACGTAGGCTATTCATCTACATGCAATATGAGTGGTCTAATGATTGGCATGATTATAAGTTATGTTTGTTCCACCTTGTTGACGTCAGAAGACTTTAGCAACCGGTACTTACGATTCAGTCCCGATGTGGGAGGAGTAATCACTATGAAAAGTAAATTCAGTAAAATCAATTTTGGTATATCTTTAATAGCTAATAAATATGCTTATAATGGGATAACAAAAATTAACGACTGTCAAAATATAAAATGTTCACCTAATTCTTAGTTCTTACAGGTTTATTCTATGTCTTGGGTATATTTTTTATATTAATAAGCACCTTGATTGCAATGTTTAAAAAAGAAAAAGATAACAGATTAGAGGACGACCACGTAAAGCTCAGCATTGTTCAAAACTATTCGCTACTATGGGACATTTTAAAACTACCTAGTATTCAAATATTGGCATTAACATTACTGACAGCAAAAGTAAATATACTTAGATACCTAATCAAAAAATTTAAAAAAAATTTAAATTTTATTTATAAGTAACAAAATGTGTTGTGTATATTATTAAAGATTGGATTTGCTGCGACTGACAGTGTGGGGGTTTTGAAACTCATTGATGCGGGAGTACCAAAAGAAAACATTATGGTTTTACACACAACAATTTTAGCTGTTAAAACTGTTGTGCCACTTGTTGTCGCTTCTGGTCCAAAACCTCTGAACACATACCTAACAGCAACACCCATCAGGTAGATAAACCTAAATACTTATAAAATCGGAGGACATGTGCTATTATCACTGTACCTACTACCTACTCTAACAGTAATAAAACCATTATAGAAATAAGTTTGTAATAACTAATAACTAATCATTTAAGTAATCAAGTATAATGAACTCCTTAGTTATTTGCCTTTTACTTCGCAATTAGGTAGGTATATTTAAGGTGGAATACTTTTTATGGTTAAATTAAATATAGTGGAGCTTCGATAAGTGGAACCTCAATAAGTCATAAACCGTAATAAGTCAATATAAATTATGTTCCCTTGCCTAATCTAACCTAAACTAACATAACCATAGTAAGTCGAACATCTAAACAAGTCGATAAAATTTAATTTTCCTTGACATTTCCACTGAACCTAATAATCTTCCAACTTTATGTCAAGACGTAAATTAAAAAATAACATTATCCAGAAGGCATTAATCATTAACAAATACCTACAAACTACAAATGGAATTTGAATAATGATTACCTAAGCTTCAAAATATATCATAGTTTTTATGGATATACGTCAATAGATAGCGGATAATTGATAGCGCGACAACTGATAGCGGTCAATTTATAGCACGTAAATTGATTGCGAGCGACTTTTGATAGTTTGACAATTTGTAGCATACTAAAGAATTAGATGACCAAACAATTATCAAAAAAAATATACTATATAGTAATAAATATTGCAAGCCATAATTAAAATTATATATAAAAATCTTTATTAACTAAAAATTATCAAGTATAATATGTTATAACTTATAAGTCATAATTTACGTGTCATACTCATAATTAAAATTTAGCTGCCTAAAAAAAATATATTATAAACATTTTATTAAAATTATTAAGTATAATATGTTATAAGTCATTTTACATGTCTGTCATAATTAAAATTTAGCTGCCTAAAAAAAATATATTATAAACATTTTATTAAAATTATTAAGTATAATATTTTATAAGTCATTTTACATGTCTGTCATAATTAAAATTTAGCTGCCTAAAAATATTATATCTGTAACTGGAAGTTATGTGCTATGCCTCTAAGATAGTCTTCAATTGTTCTATTATCATAATCTAAACAAATTTTTTTGATTTTAGCACTCCGATCTTTATAAATTTTTTTTGATGGTGGTTCCATTCCTGCAATATATTGCTCTATTTTCATTCTGTTTACTTGTTCCTCTTTTTGCAATGCATTTATGAACTTCCATATTGTTGGGTGCGATGAAGAGTTTAACATTGCAGAAAAACAATTGTGCCACCCTTCTACGGAGTTATTTGTTCGGGGTAAATCAGCAGATACTAAATCATAACAGTTCCATATATTTATTGGAAAATTAGGTTCTCTTCTTTTTTTACTTCTGTGTAAACGACCAATCCAATTTCCCTCAAAATAATCTATTAATGGCATCAATACCTCTTCATTTTGAATATAAAAATCTGTGTCTAAAAGTTTCTCAAATGCATCAACAACTTTATTTGTTGGTACATACGCCAAAGCTGGTAACATTCGTATGTATAATGCAAAATCTGAATTTTCTCTATATTTTTTTTGTAATCCAGTTTCTTGAACGTGACGCCATACACATTGGGATAAATGAAAAAACATCCATTTATAGATGCGTTAGAAGTAGTACTGTTGTATGGTGTTGTACCGACTGACAACTGATATAGTTTATGGTACAGGTACTATAGTGTAGGTATTGAATTGTCTCATTATCTATATTGCCCATATTATTTTAGATAGTAATATACTAATATCTATTAAGTTTCCAATCATGATATATTTTATCTGTTTTATTTGGTTTTTTTCGGTTAATAATTGTTTGATTATTGAATTCTATACGACGCTACAAATTGTCATACTATCAAAAGTCGCTCGCGATCTATTTACGCGCTATAAATTGACCGCTATCAATTGTCGCGCTACCAATTATCCGCTATCTATTGACGGGACACCAGTTTTTATACACAATTATAGATGGTGTTAATATTTATATTTTATACAAAATATTATAAATTATATCCATCATCATTCATGGTTACATTGTAGTGTGTCAAATTGTGTCAAACTAAACCTACATTGAAAATTAATTAATAAATTATTTTAGTAGGTACTGATGATATTGTCGTGTCAACATATTTGTAGTAAGGGGATTGCACTCACGCATTTTTCTTACATTTTAGACCAGTAAGCAAGGGTAAATGACACATAAATACTTCGAAATGTCAGCTTTTAATTTTTATAGTATGTATGAATTTATTGACAAAATATCTAGGGTATTTAGGAAGTACATTTTAAATTTTAAATTTTATAAAGACTTAAAATTAAGATATTATTTTTAAAATTGCCAGAGATTATTGAATACATTTGTACTTATTTTAGGCACATTATAGTTGCCTTAATCCCAATACTCCATATTTACAAGATTATAAACTACATATAAATATATAATTAGAAGTTAGTTAAAACCACCGTAGATTTTGTAACATCTACAGTGGTTCTAATCAATATTGTAACTCACGACTTATTGGGGGCCTTATTAATTTTAGTAGCATGAAAAAAAAACATAATTGAAAATTTCTAAAATTATATATCTACATCATTACAGAGAAAAATAAGGTAAGCATGTTTGGTTAATTTTATACCTAATATATTTTCAACATTTAAAATGATTTAAATCTCATTAATTTACTGTCACTGTATATGTGGTTTTGTTAGAGAGGTACAAAAGTAGATTGACATGAACTATAAAAATAAAACATAATAAAATACATTTGTAAATTATTGTCTTTGCTTTTAATTGGTTTTAAATATGATTTTAGATTGCTTTGGAATATATTATTTTTGGTGTTTATTTATTATACGTCGAAATTGATAACAGTGAATGGGTTTGTTAATATTCCAATATATTACCATGCACTTTTAGCAATTATATTATCAATACATAATGTGAGTAATAACTATTTATTAATTCCTAGGTGTTTAAATGAACATCATTTAAATTGTATACAGGGTGTCCCCTGAGGATTTACTCATTGCGATATCTCCTGAAATAATAGAGATATCGTAATTCTGTTTTCTTATTAAGACTCACAGAGGTAAGCACTACAAATAACTACTTTTTTATTTATTTTTTATGTTTTGGTAAAAAAGTTAAAAAAAATTATTTTTTTAATTAATTATTTAAAAAAATATTGAAGATTGCCATTTTGTAGAGTTCATTTTTCTGAAAATATTGACTTTTCAACATTTTAATTTCATTAATTTCCTGATTTTTAATAATTTTTTTAATTAATAAGTAAAACGGCAAAAAACCGGTTTTTGTCCGGGCGGCGAGTCCCCCTCTAAGGCTAATAGGTAAATCCTCACGGGACACCCTGTATACTATTTTAATAAATTGTATTATCATACCTATAAGAAAAATATTTTATGTATATAAGTAACTGGGATTTCAATTGTATAGATTTTACCTAACATTATGGCTGTATCGACAATATCTTTTTTTTCCCGAATAAGTGATCCCCGTTTTGGTGGTACCTACATGACATTATTGAATACACTTTTAAATTTGGGAAAAGTATGGTCGAAGACGGTCGCTATTGGAATGGTAGATTTCCTAACTTTTAAACAATGTTCTTCATATCATCAAAATAGTTGCACAACAGAAAATCTAAAAAATGTAAGTAATACCAAAATATTTTATTGAATTACACAAGCAATGACAATAATTATTATGAATATTGAACATTATGTCATTATATTACGTTTGTGTACGTTTTTTCCAATTTATTTTCTAAGATTGAAAAAATATAATGGTACCTATTGAAATAGGTTCAAATTAAAAATAATTTTTGATTTAATTTGTAATTACATTCATTCCAACTTTTTTTGATTATAGATGTGTAAAACCAATGGAGGTGATTGTGTTGTAATAGTGAACGGTTTTTATGTAGAGACGGTTATTTGTACCATAGTCGGAATCGTTTGGTTTTGTATTTTCAGAATTATCCTTCAAAATCTTCAAATGAAGGGACCTTCTCACTGGTTGGTCAATATTAGAAGACTTTCTGCTGAGTAATATTAAATAATAATGTTGAATAAATATTGCTCAATACCTATTTAGCCATAATGATTAACATTTCAGAGGCCTAAATATATTTATTGTAATTTATTTATTATTTTAGTAATGTATATTTTTGTATTACTATGTATTATTAGATTCTCTATAGAGACTTTTAACTGTAGTCTGTAATCTGTGCTTTTTTTAAAATAAATGGTTGGTAATTGCTTGATCCTCTCTCCGCAAAGATACATTTGAATTATGTCACTTAAACCTTGCTTATAATTCATCATTTAAGTTGTTTTTTTTAACATATTTAAGTAGGTTATAGGTACTTCATGAATAAGTAAGATATAATTATATTAAACTATGCAAATTAATATTAATTAAAACAATTTCAAACAGCATAATACAATATATATAATACTATTAAACTAAATTATATTATATAATACTGTTATTAAAATAATTAAAATTATAAAATTTTAATAATTCACAAGTAAATAAATTTCTGACCACAAAATATTAGCGCCCCTAAAATACTGACACCCGTTGCAGTAGTACCCAGCGCCCCTCCCTAAATGAGGCCCTGCAACTGTCTAGTGTCTATACTTTAGGAGGTACCTATATTGTAATAGCTGGTATATTATGATATAAAGTGTTTGTAATCGATTTCTTTATTGGAACTGTACAGTTATAGTTCAAGTACCTATTGATTTTTTATCGTGATCCAGAGACGGTATTTTTTTAAAATATTAAATAACAGCTAGCTATACCTAGGTACTTACCCCATAATATGTTTTTATTTTAAAGTTTTCCTGATGAAGTCATCTTAGATGAAAACAGAACATTACAATAGATATAGCCACTCAACACTTAAAAGGTCTGATATATTTTATTGAGAAATTTAGGGAAGAAGGTATTGAAGAAGCACTTGATGAATCAAAACAAAAATCAACTGAGCTATCAATAGAACCGGTATTTCCATCGATTCGAGTTAGAAAAAAGAAAAAAATGCCTGGTGAATTAGCGGAGGACGAATCATCAACATTATCCGAAGAAAATAAATTTAGAATTTTAATGAAAAACGTCTGTGATAGAATCTTGAACGGCTTAAAAGAAAGATTTGACTCAATTGATGAAGCTGCAAAAGATTTTTCTTTTTTAGATGGAAAGTTTTTATTTAGTATGCCAACAATTCAATTAAAAAAACATGCTATGGACTTTTGTATCAAATATGAAAAAGATATTGACAAAAATGAATTAATTTTAGAGTTGGATAGTTTTACTCAACATGCAATTCAATTGGATAATAAATTAATAGATGCTCGTTCACATGAAATTTTAAATTTTATTCTTAAAAATAGTCTTCAAGAAGCTTATCCTAACATATTCACAGCTTATCAAATATTTTTGACATTACCCGTTACATCGGCATCTTGTGAACGTAGTTTTAGTAAACTGAAACTAATTAAATCATATCTAAGATCAACTACAAAGCAAACAAGATTAAATGACCTGTCAATTATATCCATTGAGCACCAAGTTGCTAAATCCATAGATTATGAAGATATCATTAAAGAATTCGCGTCAAAAAAATCAAGAAAAATAATTATTAAATAGGTATTTATTAAATATAGGTTTAAATTCTAAATTATTTGTTTTTTATTGAAAATAAACATTTCCATAATGTATAAATATTAAATAAATGTAAAATATCTTGATTAATTGTATGAATATTTAAAATATAAATCGCCTATAATAATAATCCGTATTTTGACACACTTTAGGACTCATGCATTTTTTTATTGGTGACTTTTAGGGGCGCTAATATTATGTTGTGCCCCGGGTTGTATAATTTGTAGATCCGGTACTGGTCATCTAACTTAATGTTGTTACGGTTTTTACTTTTATTTTTGACAAATCCATAACGATTGATAATATATTAATATGCACGATTATTTACAACATTTTACATAGATACATGTAAGATTTATTTAGTGAGAAAATTACCAACGATTTTTATTATAATCGTTTATAAGTACGTTGATTATCTTATAAATGCCCGCAAGTCAAAACATATTTAATACTTAAATAAAATGCATTTTAATATTTCTCATAACTTGACTGTGTTCATTTCAGTTTGTTAATATTTTTAATTTAAATAATAATTGTATTTTATATTTGAAGCGCCTTTATTATATTTACTCATGACTTATAAATAATTTATAATATACCTACATATATTTTGGATACAGTTTTAATAATTCAGCGACGGTAATAATTTGTAGGTATCAACACAGTTAGTAGATAGATAGTTATAAATTCGGCGAGCGTCGATGTAGTTCATTTAAGTGTTTAGCTCTCGAGTTCTATAAATCATCTTGGTTACATATTTTACCGCCATATAAGGATATAATATATATAATATACTAGCTGATCCCGTGCACTTCGTTTCCCGTTAAATGTACCAACTCTATATGACTCAAACGTCTCAAACATTGTGCAATGCGTTATTTAATATTCGGTGTATGATGTTCTAGATTTTTCTGTTGCCCGGAATAAAAATTCTGAATTGCAGCAGTACATTATCAGATAGGTAATTTACCTGCGGTAGATCGCGGACCCCGTGCTGTTTGTACGTAAGTGTATGATTTAACTCAAAAAGTACCAAAGTTATACCAAGTTTGACGTTTTTACTTAATTCCACCTACCTATAAATCCTAACCTAATATAACCGTACTAAAATCCGATGAATAAAAAAAACCTAATTTAACCCTTTTTAAATTAGCGTATCTTCTTCCCATAGGTCTAATCTACACACCGTCATTCATTTATATATAAGATATATTTATATTAGATTTTCAAATCTTAGATTAAAAAATAAAAATTTTTACGAATTCTTAACTCAAAATAATTTGCAAATTTTCGTGATTTTTCCATATTTTGTAAATTTTTGAACTTTAAATGCTTATAAAAAAAAATTGTGACTAAGGATTTTTAACATTTTTCATCTGCCTTTGAAACAACATATTAGGAGCCTTCTATTAAATTTTCAAGCTTTCGCAACCAACAAATAAAATTTTATTGATATTTCTAGAAAAAAAACTAAAAAAAAATGAAAAATGAAAATGTCCCTAAACAGTTCAAAATAAATCAAAATATTTTGAAAATGTTATCGTGTATAGAAAATGCAAATATAAACAACCAGTGAAAATTTCATGTATCTACGGTCATTTGTTTTAAAGTTACACCAAAAACCAAATTCGATTTTTTGGAAAATCGATTTTGCGTAAAAATTCCCGTTTTTCCTTAATTTTTATGTTTTTTTTTCCCGGCGCTTGTGAAAACTACTGGAAAATGTTTACTTTTGACCCCCCAAAGTACCAACTAGATTCACTTTCCTATCAGAAAAGGTACTATTGAAGAAAATCGAAGCACTTTTACTGTCCCAAAACGTGATGACAGACACAAAAATATAAATAAAAATATAAAAACATACATCATTGTAAAACCAATACATTCATCGCTCCGCTCAGAATCTAAAAATGGAAAATGAAAATGTCCCTAAACAGTTCAAAATAAATCAAAATATTTTGAAAATGTTATAGTTTATAGGAAATACAAATATAAACAACCAGTGAAAATGTCAAGTGTCTACGGTCATTTGTTTTAAAGTTACACCAAAAACCAAATTCAATTTTGTGAAAAATCGATTTTGCGTAAAAATTCCCGTTTTTCCTTAATTTTTCTTTTGTTAATCTTGTCGCTTGTGAAAACTATTGGGAATTTTAAATTTTGACCTCCTAAAAGTACCAACTAGATTCACTTTCCCATCGAACAAGTTACTGAAGTTGAAAATCGAAGTATTATTTCGACTACTAATCGTGTACACAGACTAAAAAATTAAAAAAAAAAATTAAAAAATTAAAAATTAAAAAAAAACACACACATCATTGTAAAAAAAAATACATTCATCGTTTCACTCAGAATCTAAAATACAAAATTTATATTTTATGAGTTGGAAATTTGGAAATTTATGACCATATTTCTAAAAAGAAATTAATGTTTTAAGATTTTTTAGTTATTTTGCTTAAAAATAGTGAGTTTCGCTGCAGTTTCTCATCCTTATTTTAAAACTGACTTGCAATTTTTAAACTTAAATTCAGTGACCCACTTGTAACCTACTGTACAGCAGAGCGACACCCACTTGCCTACCTTTTTAAAAATATGAAAATAGATTATTTTTTTTAAATCTACACAAAACTGTATTAAGTAATGTATAATTATTGTGATAGAGTAGTTATAGATTCTGAGCAGGATTCTGAGACAGGGATCTAGTGGTTTTACAATGGTGTTTGTTTTAGAACCAATTCATATTGAAATGTTAAGTATTTATGCATATGACTATATAGAAAATTGTTTCAAGATGGTACTTTAGAGACGTCATTTTTCGATTTTCTCAATTGTTGTAATTTATAATATTAATTCAACATACAGGCTGTAATAAAATATAATAACAATATAAAATCGATTTTGCGTAAAAATTCCCGTTTTTCCTTAATTTTTCTTTTGTTTTTCTTGGCGCTTTTGAAAAGTACTGGGAATTATAAATTTTGACCTCCCCAATGCAATAACGATATTCACTTTCCAATCGAACAAGATACTGAAGACGAAAATCGCCGCATTATTTCGACTACTTATCGTGTACATAGACACAAAAATAAAAAAATAAAAAATAAAAAAAAATATATAAAAACACACATCATTGTAAAATCAATACATTCATCGTTAAACTCAGAATCTAAAAATAACTACACAGATAAAATTCATATCTACGCATTGTGTAATTTTGGTAATTCTACTAAAAATACAGAGGGAGTATAGTTATCCACCGCAAAACAATTTTTGCTATGTCGTACATTTGTAGGACGGAGACAAAACATACAGGTCTTCTTAAGCATTTCTAATTTTTATATCTGGAGGTCCATTTCCCCAGCCCCGGATTTATTTAATTTCGAATATTTTTTGATTACCTAGGTATCTAATTTCTAAATATATTTACCTTTGCTGTCAGCAACGTTAATGTCAATATTTGAATACTAGGTAGTTTTAAAATGTCCCATAGCAGCAAATAGTTTTGAACAATGTTGAGCTTTACGTAGTCGTCTTCTAATCTGTTATCTTTTTCTTTTTTAAACATTGCAATCAAGGTGCTTATTAATATAAAAAATATACCCAAGACATAGAATAAACCTGTAAGAACAAAGAATTAGGTGAACATATTATATTTTGACAGTCATTAATTTTTGTTATCCCATTATAAGCATATTTATTAGCCATTAAAAATATACCAAAATGGATTTTACTGAGTTTTACTCGTTTACATTTCATAGTGATTACTCCTCCCACATCTGGACTGAATCTTAAGTACTGGTTGCTAAAGTCTACTGACGTCAACAAGATGGAACAAACATAACTTATAATAATGCCAATCGCTAGACCGCTTGCATTGCATGTAGATGCAAAGCCTACGTTATTCCTGTGTGACATAGTAATGCGAAACCGGTTTTATTCATTATCAATTATATTATACCAATGTTAACAATAACACTGACTTCTTGAGCATCGTCAGTGCCCAACCGTCGACGGCTATGTCTTGCGTGGCGGCCAAGATATTCATAAAAAAAAATACTGATACCAATTTTAGTATGTCCGGTCTACCCGTTTCCGGCAACCATTTATTGATATTGATAGCCATATAAACGAAACATGCTCCTGTTTGACACAGAGGTTTTAAATAAGGATAACGAAATATACTGCGGGAATGTGTTGGGAATAGATAACTAAAATATTATCGAGATGAATATAATAGATTATTGATAGAAATGTTTCTAGATAAAGGAACTAAATAGATTAAATACCATATATATTTATATACTATATAGCCTTGCTACACAAAGAACCAAGGGGGTTGACCGGATCCCTTGACCACTCTAAATATATTACTGTGCCGATGGGTATAACAATTTGTCATTATTTTTCTACAGAATTAATCTTCTCCTTTAAAAAATCAAAAACTGTGGTCTATGTTACTCATATTACTTGCATTATTAATTGTATTATGTTTTTAAATTTAAACTAATGATTTTACTCAAATTTAATAAATATACTTATGCATGTTTTAGATAATACGTCGTAGTAAAGTAAAACAACATTAAATATACCTAATAGTTTTTAAATAACATAATGTAGGTTAAGTTTAGTTTTAATTTATATTAAGAAGACACTATCCATGCATTTGTTGTCTTGTCTTATAAATGTACGACTTAGTAAATGTTCGTTCACTAGCTTCAAAGGTGTGTGTTAGTAAATAGTTTTGAAATTAAATTGAATTGTATTATCAAAATTATATATAATATAGATTAATTATTCTTTCAAAATAATATACGAAAAAAAAACACTATAATAAAATTTGTATAACAATTTATAAAACTATTATTATATAAAACGTTGTTTTTCTGCCACCACAACGGATCAGAAATAATTATGTACCTACATTAAATATTATCGGAACAGAGAACAATAAATTATTGAATATTGACCACAGAACTGTTTAAATCTATTCTGTTTGTTAGCTAAATGATTACCTATATTTTATATTTTATGAGTTTATGACTCCTTGGAATTTGTTCATACTATTTAAAAGTACTATAAAATTATATTAAATTACATTAGTATGGTTTTAGAACACAAATGTAAAAATGTATAATATACTGTAATATTAAATACATGTATATGCATAAACAATTATCTAGGTAAATTAATATAGATAAGTGAATTTTATCATCTGGATAAGATAATAGATAACGAAATTTTCATCTGGATAGGTCGCAACACTGATTAAATGGCTAATTTAAAAAATATATCATGCTATGACATTCGGTTATGTATGTTTATGAATTGTCAATTGTTAATTTCTAATTTATCGACTTTGTGTTCTTTTAACTTGACTACCTACTTGAGTAGTTGAGTTAATAATTTTCATTAACATGCCCACCTTTGCAAATCATAACGCAATCTAAAGAGATACTTCCTCGTTTGAATAAACGTTCGTACCTAACGGAAAGATTTATGCTAACTTACGCACCAATTGAATATTGAACCGGTATGATCCATGATTTTCGTCTTCCCATCTTTTGTACGTACAGCGCGTCTACCAAAGGAGCCCATATCAGTTTTAAGCTATGCGGCCAATGAACAAAACTGAATAGAGCCTGAAACAAAACACGACCATGTTTATGTTATGAGAAATAGAAGTATAAAATTTCTTCGATTTGGATACAAATCAATATTAAACTTTTATATTATACAATACAACAATCGCACGGGTACGTAATTTTTGATGTTGAATCAGATTTTTACTTGATCTTTGTAAGACACATCTTTGTTGCTTTGCAAAATTATCGGCATTGCCAATGCTAAGCCACGTGGTAGGCCTTGCATCGTATACAGTAATAACAACAGAAAAACATTTAACCAATCTCCTTTTAAATTTGGCTTCTTGGCAGAATTCGAATCATTAACTACTGTCAATGCTGTTAGGTTTTCTATTTCTTCTAGCTGCGGGACCGTCATCTTTACTGCGAAGTCTTCAATATTGACACTATACGCATAACGCAAATAACCTAAAAATAATAATAAGTAATTAGCTATCAACAAGATAGATACAAGATATAGCATGTTTAAATATATATTGCAAAATATATTTTGGAGGTCTATGAAAAAAAAACCTTGAAACAATTTTCTAAAAGATAAGATATCATATTATGTTGAAATCGAATCACTCCTTCTGGTAGAAATGTTGTTCACAGGGTTAAAAAAAATAAAACCACTCAGTAATAAGTTGTATTAAATATTTTCAATTTTGTAATAATAATTTATAGTTATATTCATAAAAACTTAACATTTCAATATGAATTGGTTCTAAAAAAAAACACGATTGTAAAACCACTAGATCCCTAGCTCAGAATCCCGCTCAGAATCTCTAACTACTCTATCACAATAATTATACATTTATTTTAATATATATTGCTTAGTCAGAACCACGGTAGATTATAGATTATAGATAATAATCTACCGTGGTCAGAACTATTTTCATACATTTTATCTATTGTTAGCTTCAAAAATATTTACCTATCCAGTGGTTTGGTTCTGTGAATATTTTCTTTAAATAGTTTTTTGTTAGTTTAATAAAAATGATCGTGTTCTATTTCTAGTACCTATACTCCGCGCCACGAGAGAATGCATACGGCGGCCGACCAAAACACGTATTTTTTCGCGCATCCCTACCACTTTACCAGCACGATCACCACCGGTCGGCTTGTTCCGGAGCTCACCGGTTTCGTCGGCAGGTGTGTACACTGCGATCACAATAACAAACATATTTTCCAAAACGTCGTTTGTCGTTTACCGATTCTCGTTTATGAACAACGCGCGCGCCGTATTTTTTTTTTACTAAACCGATTTTACATTTTTTACTCTTTCAATACAATGGGCGAAGACAGTGGAAGTGGAACCATCAACATTTCACCGATGAAAAGAAATCCTCGTGGAACCGCTGTATGCAGTGACCAGTTGCCGCATGGTGGGGACATTTGGCCTCGAGACAGCGGAGCGCAGTCATTTGTATGCGCGTGCCGTATGCATTCTCTCGTGGCGCGGAGTATAGTTAATTATAGCGTACAAATAATTTATTTTAGTTATACTGAGCATTTGTTTCCAATTTTTGAATTCAATATTTATGAAAATTTCGTTCAACATTTAATAAAATAAAACAAAATGTTCATTTTAAGTGTTAAGAGAAAATAGGTAGTAATTAATATCTGTAAAACGACCATAAGGTTCCGTGTCAAATCCTATAGGAGCATCACTTGACTTAACAATTAACAAATCAAAAATGTCGAATAATATGGAAATGTACACACATATTATTAGAGACTGTTGGGTAATACTACTAGTTAGTGAGAAAAATAGTTAAAACGATCACATTAGTGTCGAGACCTAAAGGTCAAAATTTATAAAAACAAAAATTAATCCAAATTTAAATTGTATAAAATATATTCGAATGGGGTGTCACCAATGGGTGACTTCCCCCCTCCCGCTAATCATCCCCATCACATTTACTTAATGTAATATATATGGTAAATACAATTTTGTTCAATAAAAAAAAAAAATATATATATAATCACAGTGCATGATTAAGCATTACGACTTACCAAACTCAATTATTAACTTAAAATTATAATTTTTATAAATATAATATAATTACCCAATAAAAAAGCCTTATGTTTTCTGTTTTAGTTGAAATGTAACATAGATGGCAGTGCCGGTGGAGCAAATGGTATGTGCTTGCTGTAAGAGAGTAGCGTTGTATTTTATAGTTTAAGTTTATTTGTTGATGATTTCGATAAAAATACGAAATTACATACGTCATTGTACAAATTATATGTTTTATTCAATTATTTTAATGTTGAAGTATTTTGTTTTGCTTGTGTCAATAAAATAGGTATAATTGAAATTTCTATTTATTAAAATAAACAAAAAAAAAATATTATTTACATAATTGCATAATATTAAGTATTTAAACAATTCACTCGATAATAAAATGAAAAAAAAAATTAACATGATGTAATGACGGCACTCACTTTGCTTCTCACTGCACTTCGCCGCGAGCTAGTCTATAAGTTTTATAGGTACACTACTCCATACCAAGTGTTAGCTAACTATTTATTATTAGTTTTTATTTTATAAGACAATACTATGATAAACTATTATATTTTAAACCTTATAATTTAATGCTGGTGTCTATAATATGAATTTATTTCGAATTTCATATAATATGATATTTAAACGTTTTTAGATTCTGAGTGGAGCGAGGAAGCTATCAGTTCTACAATGGTGTTTATTTTTTTTTTATAGGTATAATGTATACAAAATATCTACTAGAAGAGTGCTTCGATTGGCACACGTGTCGTATGCTATCTACCAAATCAATCATATTATATAAAAATCTACAAATTTTTTGCATAAACTTAATCCACTATTATTTTTTCCATTGTTATTTGTTGTCGATGTAAGTAAAAAATGGATTTTCTTTACGAATGGATTGCCATGTTTGACAACCCTTTTTTTTACATCGTAAATATTTTGTTATAATAATATCTCCGTTTACATCACGTTTCCTGCTTTTTTTTTAAAGTTTCCTTCATTTCACCATTACATTGTTCTCCAATAGAATTTAATTTTGTATAAAGTTTTGTATTAGGTAATAAATAACGATCTTTTAAAAATTGTATACAAGTTTCGTCATTAAAAATAATTTTTCTATATAATTCACCCAAAGTACCTACTCATTTTATAAAACCATAAATTTACAATTAATAAAAAACACACAACTACAACGTTTGATCTCGGCGATCAACGAACATACATACTAAATTCTAAAATACAAAATAACTCTGAAATTCCTAAAGGAATTATAAATATATATAATATATAGAAATATACGTCAATACGAATTACGGTAGATAACGTAGATACGGTAGATAGCATACGACACCGTCAATTTGTTGGTAGATAGCATACGACACGTGTGCCCTTCGATTTCAACATATAGTACCTTATCTTTTAGCAAATTGGATCAAGATGGTACTTTAAAGAGGTCATTTTTCGATTTTATCAATAGTTATTTAATGCCACGTGAAAAATACTTTTAAGACCGATTTTGAGTACGGAACAGTGGGGATTGATAAGCGGTGGGTCGGGGAACAAAAATATCGTAAATATCCCCCGACCCGTCGCTTATCCATTCCCACCACGGATAATATACTGAAGAATATACAGTATATTATCCGTGCATTCCCACTACTCTCATCGCGGTGACGTACTACGACGACGACGTACGACGATTGGCAATTGCGACGGCGTGGTCTCTAGGATACCGGTTGCCGGCAACCATTTACTGTTTACATTTACATTATACTGTTTCAGCCATGGGCGTAGTTTGGCATAATTATATGTGGGGGCTATATAGGACTAGAAAAATATACCATTCAAAAAACTCCTTTCGTTTAACTGGAATTAAAAAGAAAAAGAACATTTTCTAAAAAAAAAAAAAATTTATATTTGTCTTCTTCTTAACCTGGCATTTTATTTTGCAACATAAAAAAAAAAGATAAAACAATTAAAATTTAATTATTAAATCAAACATAAGCTAGGCGTCTGTGTTTTTCTGAAAATATGTTAAGTACATTTTCTGATTCTATTGCATGTGATAAATCTCTTTCGATATGAAGTATTGACAAGTTTGTAAATTTATCATTTGTCATGGTATTTCTAGTCCAATTCTTTATTCGCCTTATAACAGAAAATGAACGTTCGCATGAGGCAGATGATATAGGTATAGTAAGTGCAGTTTGCAAAAGTTTATAAAAATTTGGAAAAATATTGTTGTCTACAACAGGTATGATGTCATCTATTTCATAATTATCTTTATTGATCATATTTTTTAGGACTATCATTTCAGCCTTCAATCTTTCTGGACTTATGTTTAATATTTTCTAGAAAAAAAATTTAAAAAATAAAAAATAAATCTTAATATATAGTTTTAAACTTCATAGGTTAGGTACCTCATACTTATTAACAAACTCAATACTTTCTTCATATTTTAATTGTATAAAATTGTCCACTCCTACAACGATTTTTAAACTTTCTAATGAAAACCTATTTTTTTTTTAATATAAATAAATGTGTTTATGATAAAAATAAATAGGTATATGTAGGTGGGTACAATAGTATTGTCAATAAACATTACACTGCTAATATTATACTATGAAGCCTTGACGAATTTTTAGGGAAAATTATAACATTTAAAACTATAATTTCGCCTTTTGGATAAAATGTAAAAAATGAGGACCATGGGGATTGAGGGGACTACATAAATTTCTGTGGGGGCTGTATCCCCCACAGCCCCCATGCATACTACGCCCATGGTTTCAGCAGACGAGTGACGACCAGCAAGATAGTATATAGATTAATAGGTACTTGCTGACGACTCAACGACTGTGATTGTTTAGTGAATTCGTGATCCAGCGCGACGGTATTATATTATTATGCTGAAAACTCGGAACAATAATAAAATAAAATAAGCAATCTGGTGATTAATTCATTACCCGTGGCAACAATTAAGGTCGGTGGCAAATCATATGCTCTTAATTCTGTGATTTGCCATCATGGTCCATCTATGACTCAAGTCTCTAGCCCATTATAGGTACATCAGTTATTAAACATAATAAAAAAATATGGGTTAGATGTAACGATATCATATTTATGTTATAGTTTAAGAAAAAAAAACTATATTGTATTCCAAATAAGATCAGGGCGACCTTCGGCGGCGACCAGTTTTCGTTCCGCGACGGACAGACGCCTTCCCCACTACAGCGGCGCAGCAGATGCTGCCACAGAAACAAAGCCACGCCCATGCGCACAACTCGGCTGCCTAAGCCTGATCTTATATGGAATAGACTATAGATTATAAAATAGAAAAAGAGATATTATAACAACAGGAGGCCAACGAT